GGGTCACCTCATTGTTCCTGCAAGGGCTCAGTGGAAGAGGGAAGTGATTGCACTACAAAAGATGGGGATTTGAGTGAGCTCAGTTGTCTGAACAATACTCTGCCAATGAGTGAGGAAAAATTGTATCAGGGAACAAAGGATGAGTCACGGAGAATTACTCAATAAGAAACAGCGAGTCAACTTTCAGAGGACTGGGGAATGTGGATGTCTCCCGAAGTTGCTGCAGTGTCAGTCAGGATGGAAACGAGATACTCAGCAACGAAAACACCCTGTGGGCTCACAGGGGGAAAACTTCAGGTGACAAAAACCAACCCAAAACTCAGTCATGTCGTGTTTCTGATGGCTCATGTAAACTCTGCACAGTGAGCCCAGAAATCATGCCAAGAAGCCTGAGGAGCTGAGGTGTTTTGCCCGTTATCCCACCAGGAACAAGAGACTAATGACAGGAATGATTGAGGCTGGATTTTGACACTTGAGCATACATAGAGTAGGTGTAGGGAAGATTACAGTTATGCACACAGATGGGAGAAGTAGATCACTGGAGAACAGAAGTGTGACAGTATTCAGACAGATAAAGTAATTTATTTTATAGGAAACTATTATACAGTTGAGAACTGTGGGGCTTTTTTTTTTTTTTCCATCAGAGTGAAAAGGAGAGAATATCTGATTTTATTCCACATGATCCAAAAGATGTGTCATGTGCTCCTGATGGGGTTAGAGACATGAAATGGTTTAGGGAGTGGGTGAACATTTGGATTTCTACCTGATTGACAACGTGCAAGTCAGGGAATTGGCTCAGCATCAATGAGGATCTCATTAATTTTGGCATTAAAGACTGTCAACACTGCAAGAAGAAAGTCATGTAACAGATTCAGAATCAAGATATTGCCCTATATTTAAAGATTCAGCATTCAAATGAATAATAATTTTTTTAATTCCCTGTCCCACACTTTCCCCTGTAGATGCTGGAACAAATTCTGGGTGTGGGGGTGTTTTTCTGCCAGCGTTTCTCAGTGGCCATTTAATGCAGTGACCAAACACACAGAACCCCAAAATGCTGCTGGCAGCCACCCACTGGGAGTTACCTGGATCTCAGGGAAAACTTCCTCCAAAATCTGGCAAAATATGGTCTCCTGCTCTAAATGACAGGATTTTGTGTTGCTTTGCAGCAGTGACACCATGCACAGACCAGAAAACATAAAGCTTCTGTCCTTTGCACCAGGATAAGGGATGCAAAAAGCAGGATTTCCAACACCAGAATGGTTTGTATTCCACATGCTGAGGCCAAAACCTCCCTTACAGCCAATCCAGGAGTTTCACAGAAATTAAAAGTCCAAATCTGAAATTCTACTCAAAAAAAGGATGGAAGGAAATAAATATTTAAAGAGGAGAAGCAATTTGAGGCAGCTCAAAATTATTTCAGGAATTAATTGACTTTGAAGCAATCAGCAATGCCATTTAGGCACCAGGTAGGGAATTATTTATTTTATAAAGTAAGAGCTCTAAGGGATGTTGAAAGTGGAGGGCAGAGTACTTGTATAAAACATATGGGTTTTCCTGCTAATTTTCCATAACATTATCTGTAAGACAGGTAGCACAAAGGCATCAGAGCCTTTCAAAGCCTTTTGTGAATTCTTCCTCCACACATTAGAGACAGAGGCATTAAGAGTTGAGCAAATCATCAAAAGAAATGCATGTGCCTAAATTCTCTTTGTTTCAGTAGCCTCCATGTTTTCTGAGGATCCAAGTCCAGAGACACCAGATGGCTGCTTTTCTCAGATATTTAGGCACCTACACATGCAGAGAGGTGCCCAGCAGTATTTTCAAGCATGTCCAAACACTTCATTCTCTAAATAACCATTAAAAAATATTGATGGAAAATTTCATCCTATGATTTACTTTTTTTTCTAAAATATCAAAGGTAAAAAAAAATACTTCAGTAACTGAAGAGATGAGCCTTTTCTAAACTCCAGAGTGGGGACCACACAGATCTGGGATATTGGAGCCAAATGCAGCACAGTGAAAAGGGCTGGCAGCAGGTCTAGGAATAACCTGGCACTGGAGGAGTTAAAATCTGCAGTTGAAGGGAGATAAAAACTCCAGCCAAATTTAGTTGTATTGCAGCCACGTGGTTAAATGTCTCTGGCACTCCCTCCTTTCCAGGGCTTCCCAAAACTGGATGAGGACACAAAAATACACTTGGGAAGGGTGATTTTAACACATTCAGCTAAAATTTTACCCCAGAAAAATTCAGCAAAGAGGCCTGAACCACAAGAAGAGAAGATGGAGGCAGCTCGGAGAGGAGGAGAGGAGAAGTTTAAAGGCTGAACAAAAATACCAAATTTATCCCCCTCTTTCTATGAACGTGGATCTTGTGTAGTTGGATGCCAGCAGAACTCTCTGTCAAACCAAACAGCCTGTGTTGGGTTCTACTGAGGAGGAATAGGGTGTTACTTCAGTTCATAAGAAGAATATATGATAGGTTTTATCCCAGAGATACATTTTTTAGGTTCCTGACACTTCAGCAAATTAGTTTACAGCAAAACACAAAGGAAGATTGTCTTGGGGAACAATTAGGGAGTTTTAAAATGCAACAAAAAGATACAGGGAAAAATCTCTTTGCTATAATTGATAGCCTTGTCTCAAAGGGAATTAACAGAATTTTATGACTTTGATCTTCTGAAGAATGAGTTTCTTAACTTCATTAGTCATTTTGCTTTAGTTTCAGTGCAGATTCCACCAGAGAGAAAGCCCCAGCCTGTTAAAAGGGGCAATCCTCCTATATTTGTCACACTTGCCCTACTGAAATTCCGTTCAAAAGTTCAGTTTAAAGGGATTTTGTGGCAGAAAATCCATTATAATTAATGAGCATTCATAATTAATGGCTGGCCCGATGTAACCTTTGAGAAGGATCACAGCCTTTTTCTTTATGATCTTAATGCAACAATTTCACTTAATGATCACCACCTTTCTACTTAAAAACTTAGCAGTGGATTAAGTGATAGCAGGAATTAGATAATTCCACTATTAACCAAAGTTTAAAGCTCTTTACTTTGCTGTTCTCAGAACTGTTCTGATCATAAAGCATGAATTTTAATAACAATACTGTACTGTACTCCTCAGCAGCATAGGTTGGGAACTAATTAAAATACAGCAGGGATGTATTTGCCTCCATCTAGCAAGGAACATGACTGAGTAACAACATCTTCTTCCATTATCTCAAAAGAACCATCATTTGCTAATACAGCTTTCCCCTGCAAAGTTAAAAGTCAGCTGAAGTTTTACTTTACTAAGGGGGCAAAATTAGTTGCAAATATTTCTATTCTCTTTCTATTTCATGCATTTTGCCCTTTATGAGCACTGGTAGAGATGTAATAAATATAATGTTGTTTCTCTAACCGGTACAGGGTTCTCCAAATTTATTTCCATGAAGTCGTGATAATGAAATTAAAACCAACTTGTTTGCCCCATGGAAGAGCAGCTGCTCCACGAGCAACAAGATTTTAGGTTGTTGAAATCACCCTTGTCACGTGCTGATGGATTTTCTTCCCAGGTAGATTCAACAAGCACAAGTCTCAGCCCATCTTTGCCAAGGGCATTTTGCAGCTTCCCTGGGGGTGCCCAGTGAGCACCAGGATGCCACGTGCTCATGGATGAGCCAAAACCCTCTGATGGAGCACTTCTCCAAGGCTTCCCAGAGCAAGGGCTGCTCCAGGAGGCTGCACTCCCATCCCATGTGATAACTGTGGGAGGACACCTCACCTTGATTAACACTAATTACAATTATCTCTCATGCAGTGAGAGCCAAGGACACGGAGCTGTCGGAGCTACTGAAGAGGATGAAGGAGACTCTCAAGGTTAAACTTTGCCAACCAAGGAGATGAGGAAGAGTGGATTCCCCTCTGGCAGACATTCCAGCCAGGCTTGCCACCCATGGATCTCTTTTCCCATCTCTCCCTGGCAGCTGGACTTTCTCCCTTCTTCTGGTTTTCCACAAAGGTCTGACCAGCAACCTCCTACAGAAACAAGGAGAGGGTGCTCCTGGTTTTGTGGGGAGAAGACTCAGAAATCTGGATCACCAGAAAAATGGACTGATTTCACCTAGTTCAAGGCTGGGTCTGCTCCAGGTAGGGATGTTGTGTTGTCACTTGTATAATTAAAGGGATCCAAAATATAGAGTGCTGATAATATATATCAAATTCCTCTCCAGGATTTAGACTCCACCACAGAACAAGGAATATCAGACGCAAAAAACTGATGTACAGGTCTAGGAGCCTTTTGCCTCCATTTTTGGGTGAATATCTTCAGTGAACAGTGAAAATCTTTCAGATGAGCTCTGCTGTAAGAACAGAAATGGCAACTTTACCCCATCCTTGTGCACCTGCAGGTGATTTTGGAGAGCAGAAAAATAGGGATGATGTTGCTTTTCTCAATTAAGGATTTAATAAAAAAAATTTTGTTCTGCCATCCTACAGATATCTTACTTCAGTTAACGAGAAAAACAAGAGTTCAGCCAATGGAAACTTTGGCTTTGCTGAGGACTGATCATCCCCTGCCATGGGCAGACCACCTGCTTTCAGAGATGCTCTGTGTGTTTTAGAGAAGGTTTTTACCTTAACACACAAAAGACCCTTGAGTTAAATACAAACATGATTTGTCAAGTCAGACTGTTCTGAATGTCAAATTAGAAATCACAAAACTGTTTTTCTTTATCAAGCGGCACACAAACACTTAAACTCCCCAGTCCCCTGGCCCTGCTGGGGAACACTATGTTCAATTTTCCTCTAGTTTTTGTCACAGTCATAGGTGGAAATATATCTTAATGCAGTAGCCAGCCACACTGAGAGACTGGCACTTCAATGGATGAAGGTTCAACTGTCCAGAGAGTGTCAATGTCTTATTAAGATTTCAGCTCCATCACTCCCAGGTTTCATCTCCCTCTTTCACCCTGTTTTAGATGGTTCTTTAATCTTTCTTTTTCTTTTTTTTATTTTTTAACCACATCAGAGCATCTTGCCACCTTCCCTAATTAATCCTCTGGATCCCTGCAGGGTAAGGAAATATTATCAGATCTGTTTTTCCAACCAAGAAGGAGGTTGCAGGATAAACATCTTGTTGCTCAGAACATGATCAGAGATACCCAGGTCTGCAGGGAGGCAGGAGCACCCCTGGGCTATAAAAGAAACTTCCAGGGGATCACCCTGGTTTAATAACTCACCTTATTGCTTGGTGTTGATTACCCTCAAAACTTACAATTAATGTCAGCCCTGAGAAAAATGAAGCAAAAATCGATAACCAGAGAAGCAAGAGGGATCCCATCTCCCCAGCCTGTCATCTGCTGTCTGACAGGCACAGCCACGACTTCCCACCACTGACAGACCATTCCCAGACTCCAGTAAGGGGGGAGGAAAATTTCTGACACCAGACAGGTGAGTTGGACAAGCAAGAAGCCCTAAATAAAAACAGACTCTGATAATAAAACAACCCTGTGAAGCTTCACAAGCAATCCTTGGCTCATCCCAAACACCAGCAAAGTTAGGGTGAGGAGAAGGAGGGCGGTGCCAAAGGGTTCCTACCTGAGAGTTCAACATTTCTTCAAAAGATGACAGGGACTCCCAAGCCCTTTCTGTTCTGAATTCCCTACAATGAAGCCAAAACTCTGGTTAAACATGAAGTTTTATAGCACACCAGTGGAACAGGCAGGAAGAAGGCTACACATGCAGGTGGGATGTGTTTTGTGCAGCAGCCTGGAGACAAACTCACTTCATTCCCTTTGAGAAGAGACATGAATAGGAGGCAAATGAAAGCACAGTTTTTCACAGTCTCCCCGAATCCACTTCTGAACCCCAGAGAGTCTGTTCAGGACAGGCATTGCCTTTTATTCATGTTGCAGGTTGGTAAGGGACTGCTGGTACCAAAAGCAAAAATGTATTCAACACTGAAACCTCATAGTGAGCTGGAACACTTCATCCTTTCTTTTCTTAATTCAGATTCAACCCCCAACAATTGGGGTTAAGCACTGGGAACACAGACACTGTGAACAGCACACACAGCCTGGTTAATGCACAGACCTGTCCTTGGACACACATCCCTGGAGAGCAACAGGCTGGGCCAGAAACAGGGACAGGACTAACAGTCCTGAGCCAACACTTCCAGGCAGCCCTCAGAGCACAGAACGTGTCTGTCCAAGAGCTGACACACCCCTGGGGGTGGGTGAAGCCTTTCTCCTGCCACAGAGCCCAGCACTGCATCCCTGCCCCCTTTTGCTCCCAGCTGAGTTCACAAATCAGGGTTGAGTGATTAGAAACCAGTTTAAGTGTAAAGGAGGTACCAAAGACAACCATTCTCTACAATTACGCCTTTTCCTTTCCCTTCCCAAACACCCTCCTGCTCATGTTCTCCATGTGTGGGTGTGCTGAAGCTGCCTCCCCTGGAGCATCACTGGGTGCCCACCCACACACTCCCAGCTGTACGAAACTCTCAGGTTGTGCTTTGCCTTCTGTACACACCAGGAAAGCTGCTGCAAAGGCAAAATGAGAGTTTTTGTCAGGACAGAGGGAATCCACATGACTCCACACAAGGACTTTTCCCTATGGGTGCAGCTCCTCTCCCTGTAAAACCCTTTGGAAGCTGCGTGGAGCTGCCCAGTGTGCTGGGCAGGGGGCCTGGAATACTCCCACAAACAGCCAGAGTCATTTCCCTACATCCACTTGAGCAGTGGCAAAGCTCACTGGAATGGCAGGAGGTGTGGGATGCTTGTTCCCCATCCTGCAATGGAACATTCCTGGATGAATCACGACGTTCCTCACCACGGAGAGGAGAACAAAGGATTTGGACACAGCACTGATCAAACACACACAAGCTCCCTTTTATAGAATCATAGGATGTTTGGGGTTGGAAGGGACCTTAAGACCATCTAGTTCCAACCTCACTGCCTCAGACTTCTCTGGAAACTTCCTCAGTGCTCCTGCTTCAGCTGGTGCAAACATGTCCCAAGAAACCTAATGGTAGGAGTTAGTTTTAAACAGCACACACAAGCTCTTCTGAAACAAAACATTTTCAAGACTTCTCTGCACTTGAGCCAATTTCTTCAGGCATCCTGCCCCATATTTAAGCACCAAAGGCAAGATCCCCACATCAGGTGCCTGGTGTTAAATTTTATGGCCCTGCACTTCAAAATACGGCCCTCAATAACTGAATCTCAGGCACCTGGAAATAAGTATTTTCCTTTGGAGTGATTAAAAAAAGGAAATAACCCCTGTATATTATTTTCATTTTCTTTGCTTTATAAGGTTTTAAGCTGCTTTTATGCGGCACTGGAAAGTTCCAGCCCGTGATTTGTTGCATTCTGGTGTGCTAATAGAAACATCCCCCTGACTGCTGCTCACTCTGCAGAGCAGGAGGATCGTAACACAGATTGTAAATGGTTGCATTACTGAGAAAGATAATGTTTCTTTGCACTTTCATTTCCCTGGGTTGATATTTATCGTGGTGGGGGTTGTGTAAGCGTAGGAGAGAGGGATCATGCATTATTTACCAGCCTGGAATGGGGAAAGGCTCCTGCCTTTCACAGCGTGCAGGAGCACAGAGCAACTCCCAGTTCGTGTCAGGTTTGGTGGTGGCTGAAGGATTTTAAGCAAATATGATCGTCCTGCCAGGCCAGAGAGTGACAGCAGATGGGGCTGAGGGTCACAGCTCTGCTCTCCCTCCTTTCAGCTCTGGATAGTTTATCTCATTATTTATTTCACACTATGGCTGGACCAGGACTGCCACTGAATCACCACCACCATCAATAAACTCCTTAAGGTCCAACATAGCTGAGACAAAATTTCCTGGCCTTGAATGCAGCTGAGAGAAGACAAACTCAGAGAGGTTTGTTCAGGATTTGCAGAAGCAGCAGCCTTTCCAGCCCCAGGATTGTCCCTCTGATGCCACCCCACTGATCCAGCTTCCCAACACTCCAGGAAGTTGCAACACTCCAAGGTTTATTATCATTAAACTCCAGCCAGTGTCAGAGGTTCTGTGTTTGTCCTCACAGTGCTACTGCCAGTGCACATAAAATCTAACAAAACAAGCCCATTAAGTCCCAAAACAAGCCTTGGGAAAGAATTTAAAAAAAAAAAAAGAAAACAAGGAACAACAACAACAAAACTACTAAATAAGAAATAAGTTAATGAGGAAAAATTACAAGGAACAGAAGACTTTAAATGTTCTTCCAAATTAAGGACAACAAAGAGAAAGGATCAGCTCTTATTTTTGCAATTAAGGTGTTATTTATGGCAATTTAGCTGTTTTGAGATTAAGCCTGGATACAGTGCTGCAGAAAACACATCTGATTTACTCCCAAGGCTTCCCATCAGTTTCTAATGTGAGTGCCAGCCAGGCAGCCAAAAAAACAGGAGGATTTCTGTGCTCCCAGAGCTCCCTGGCTGCACACGAGGCGCCTGGAAAACACCCAGAGGATTTATCCCCACGTCGGGCGTCTGGACCAGGACCATCAGCAACAATCCTCAATTTCCAGTGCTGGCCCTGGAGCTGAACCACTGTATCTTTGGGGCAGAAATCTTCCAAGAACGAGGGATAACACTTGGGAGGAGCAAAAAGGAAACCTAAAGATTCTGTTCCTGTGACAAACCTGCCCGTGAGGAGGGGTGGGAAGAGGAGGCTCAGAGGGGCACCCTGTGTCTACAGGCACTGCCCTGACAGAGCAAACAGCCCCTTTGCCCTCTCCCAGCAGCCAGGAAACCATCCCATACTCATGACTGTGTCACCCACCTCCAGGGACACCTCCAACAGCTCAGGGGAACACTCCCCACAGGCGTGGGAGGGAGGTGAATGGTACCAAGGACCCCCTGGCAGAGCCCTTCCTTCTCCACCTCTGCCCAGTTTGACTCCAAGCCATGGAGGGGAGCACCACGGGACTGCCAAAAAACACACATTTCTGTGCAGGGACAAAACACACCACTGACTGTGACATCCATGTGCATCTTCTGTAGTATTTTCCCCCCTGTTACAGAGTTGGTAACATTTGCAGAGAACCTGTACGTGAATTAAGACCACCCACACTATTTGTAGGATTCAGCCCCAGATGCCTTCTGGTTTCCTTTTTTCCCCTACAGGCTAATAAAAACAATAAAGGAAAATAAATAAAATAGGATGCCAAGTTTGGTTATGCTCAAAAAACAGTTCAGGGAGGAGAGAGCTGAAGATGGGGTGGCGCTGGGAAGACACCCAGCCTTGTGGTGCTGCTGCTCACAGACTCTCCTACTTCAAGGAGACATGAAAGCAGACATTGCAACATGACAGTTGCAAACTCTATTAGTTTTTTTATGGCTCTGTTGATTTTTCCAGCCCCCATGGCTGCCTGCCTGGGTATCCTGTTCTTTGAACCCACACAGAGTAAATAAATAAAGAATAACTACTGTGGCTCTGCAGGCAGGAGATGTGTCCCCAGGAGGAGCACTGGGTACAGGCAGGAAAAGCTCCCCCTTCCATCCTGCAAGAATTAGAGCACTTGGGCTGAAAAAAGGAGGGAAAGAGAGAGAGAGAGAAACAAAAATCAGGAAAACCTTCCTTAGAGTAAGATCTTGTGAATTGAAAGGTCCCCAGGACTTGGAGATAAACAGGCAGGTAATGGTTTTCCTGAGGGTGGATGCAGGAGGACGTGAACAGGGATGTGACAGAGATGTGACAGCTTCCATCCACCCCAGCAGAGCTGCTGGAGGCACAAGGGCTTTACCTGGAGCACCTGGAGCTCAGCAGGAGATGAGGAACACACATTGGCCAGGGCCTCACAGGGTGTGGCAGGGATTTAATTTGATTTGATTCAAATCTAACTGACCAGAAGATTTCTCTTCATTCCCCCTCTCTCCTGGTAGAAACTTTTATTACATTAAGTGAAATGTTTAACCACTGGGGCTGTGGGCTGCAATAGCTCATCCTAAGCAGTTTTAGTGTTTGCTGGGATCAGCCCCCACTCCATGGGATGTGTGTGTCACCCTTTCCTCTGCCCAGTTATTCCTCTTTCCCTCACTCCTCTTGCCTCCAGCTCTGTCCCCCACCCCCTTTTTCAAGTTGCAATGCGGGTAAAATAAAAGTATTAACGGCGCTTATCTGATGCATGGGAGATGTGAGAGGAGCTGGCAAGCAGCCAGCAGTTAATAGCAGCATAAAGCAATTTGCTGCAAAAAAAAAAAAAAAAAAATTAACATGGTAATTGTCAGGCTGGAGAGGGTGCTGGGGACCGTGGAGAAGGAGGGAAAAAAAAAAAACAAGACATTGATTACTCTAGATTTTAATAATAGAGGTCTGAGGAAGAAAGGAAGGTTTTGAGGCAATTTTCTTCTTTTTGTCCCGTTCTCTGCTACCCTCCCCCAGCTCAAAACCTCCAGCCAGAGCCTCAGGCACTCACGGGAATTTATCCGAAGATCTCTTCCTTTTTAGCATCGTGTCACTGCCAGATGCACCACGGGCTGCGGAGCTGGTCGGCACCACCACGCACTTCTCCCTTTCCCACGGAGGGAAACGACGCTGCGCTGGAGCTCCTGGAGGGGGGAAAGTCATGTTGGACAGAGCCCTGCACGCTCCCACCTCAGAGCCGAGGGCAGAGAGGACCTTCCCAA